ATGGACAGAAGCAGAATGAAGCATCAGGTGAGGTTGGTACCTGACTTTGCTTCTCTGTCTTTTTAGATATGCGCAGACCTTGCCACCCTCTCCTCCTTGCTCTCTCTGGGGACACAGGAGAGGGGTCTGAGGCAGGGGATCATCTTTGAGTTGGGATTAGCAGGACGAGGAGAAGTTTTTCCAGACAGACGAATAGGGCTGGGAAGTGTGTTCTCGGCGGAAGGAACAGAAGGGCCGAGGCTTAAGCGATCACCCTGTGGCTGGGGAGTGACAAGGGGTTGCTGCTGCTGGGAGCAGAACGCAAGGTGTGGCGAGGCAAGGGGCGGACCTGGCATGGGGAGGGACTGCGGAAGCCTCGGATTCTGAAAGGCCCACGTTGCTGTCCTCCGGACCAGGACCTCACAACCTCGACGCTCTGACATTCCCGGTTGGGTCATTCTCTGCTGGGGGGTGGGGGTGGGCACCGTCCTGCGCATTTGGGATGCTTAGCAGCTTCCCTGGCCTCCGCCTTCTATTAATAGACACCAGCAGCGTCCCCTCTCCCCCAGATGTAACAACTAAAAATCTCCCCGGGCCGGGCGCGGTGGCTCACGCCTGTAATCCTAGCACTCTGGGAGGCTGAGGCGGGCGGATTGTGTGAGCTCAGGAGTTCGAAACCAGCCTGAGCAAGAGCGAGACCCCGTCTCTACTAAAAATAGAAAGAAATTAATCGGACAGCTAAAAATATATAGAAAAAATTAGCCGGGCATGGTGGCGCATGCCTGTAGTCCCAGCTACTCGGGAGGCTGAGGCAGGAGAATCGCTTGAGCCCAGGAGTTTGAGGTTGCTGTGAGCTAGGCTGACACCACGGCACTCTAGCCCGGGCAACACAGTGAGACTCTGTCTCAAAAAAAATAAAAAATAAATAAAAATCTCCCTGGACACTGCCACGTTCCCTGGCAGGCAGGGGGCAAAACTGCGCCTGGTGAGAACCACTGCTCCGGTTGATGAGGACTCCGAGAACATGGAGGCGAGAGAGTGACAGGTCAGAACAGCGCTTCTGGTGGCTCGTCTTGCAGTAGCACAGAAGGAGACTGAAGGCAGTCACCAGGACGCAGAGGGACCAGGGTTGGGGGACGGGTGGGGGACATTTACGATAGTCCTGGCGGGAGAGAAGTGGGTCTTGCCCGAGATAGGCCAGTGAGGGTGGGGGTGTGGGGAGCAGACCGAGAGACAAGATTAGTCGGGGCCAGATGCGGCCACTGATTGCAGGGGGAAGACGACGCAGGGTGATAGTTTAAGGCCACAGCAGCCGGCCTGGGAGCTGCGGGGAGGGGCCCGTTCTGGGGAGGGAGCACGGGTCTTGGTGGACCTTGGTCACCCACACAACTCTGCTCATTCATTCGTACCTGCTCACCTCCCCCTCTGCCCAGCGCTCCCTCTACCACACCTGTGCACCTCCTGTCCACTCACCCAGTTCCCTCAGCCCCTGGACAGCAGAGAAAGCGCTCGCCACCTCCGCAGTGGAGCCCACCCAGCTGACTCCCCCTGCCGAGTTTTCTGGGCCCTCCTCAGCTCCCTCGCCCACACTTCCTGCTCCTTGGAGGCTGTGATTACCATTCGTTGAGCCTGTCCTCGGTTCAGGGTATTGTCTCACATTCGATAACTTAATCCCATCAGAGAGACTTTACTAAAGAGGACAAAGACTCAGAGATGAGGAAAGCTTACACTAGATACTGTCCCCTTGCCGGTGAGCTCTAGTGGGCTGCAGCCATCACCCGCGTGGCCACAGCCATGTCACCAGCTTCCGGCTCAGAGCAGAGGTGCAGAAGGAGTTTGTAGAATCAGTGAAAGCATTCGGGTAGCACAGGAGCTGGTGGCAGGGCTAGGATGGGAGCCCAGGTACATCTGACCCTAGAGCCTGGACAATTTCTGGGCCACGTTTTTCTATTTTCCTTCACGTCCTTGCGAATAGTAGACATCTATTTTGAATGGATGAATGAATAAATGACTGAGGGAATAAAACAACATCAGTGGGGCCTTCCAGTCTTTCTTCTGCCCAGAAACAAATTTCAGTTTCTACCTAAGGATAAGCTAAGCAAGTTTCCAGACTGCGGGTTATACTTACAAGCCTGGAATCTTCCCAAGTCTTTCACGTTGCTTCCAGCTAAGGCCGTTATTGGCCTCTGGCAGACGGGTGATCGACTGTCTTATCCATTGCAAGTATATAAAGTTTTGCCATCAATGTGTGCTTTGGGATTAAAGCCCCTCTCCAGGGAAGGACAATATATTAAGCTGCTGCCTGCCTGTAACACTTTAGTATGAATTTATTAATCGGCTGCTTTCCGAATGGACCCCCGGCTGAGAGCAAACGCCTGTAGAATGAGACACAGGCAAGTTAAGTTTTGACATGGGGAAATGTGTGGTTGTCCTGGGCAGTATGAAAGAACTGGACGAAAGGGTTAGGATTTTACCACACGTAGGGAGAGGAGAAGAAGTGAGAAGAGAAGTGAGAGTGTGTGGGAGAATAACCATCTTTCCTTCCTAGTTCTCTTTGGGTTGGTCCTGGGATTTCATTTTCTATAGAAGATGGATTGTCAGGTTTAGCAAGAAAGGTTGGTTCCTAATCCAATAATCTAATACGAGCCAACTACCAATAGACCAATACAGGTCTAACTACCAGTCCTGGACTAAGCACTGGGACCCAGGATGGTCGATCCACCTCGTACTGGGAGAGCCTTGTATATAGGTAGCCCCGACGTCACAGGAGCTGCGCCTGCTGGCAAATGAGCCAGGAGTCACAGGAACTGAAAGGGTTAAAAGGTTACTATTGGGGTGATCAGGGGGGCCGCCCAGGGGAGGCGGCATTGGAGCTGGGCTTCTAAGGATGTTGGGCAGTTTGCCGCCAACTGCAGCCTCTGAGTGTGAGGCACAGAGGAGGGCCTGGCGGGCATTCGTTCTGGGGGCCCCTGCAGCTCCCTCTACCCTCCCAACGTGCATCATGCTTTACTGTGAGTTTGCATTTAATGCTGCCCCCTGTGCTAGAGCATACGCCCACCAAGGCAGGGACTGAGTACGAGCAGTCCCCTGCACGTGTCTGAGGCCCGGGTGGGCGGGCTCACAGCAGGCCTCAGCGAGAACTGAATGATTTGGATGCAGAGCGAATATCACGCCAAGCTATTCCCAGTTCTGCTTGCTTTGCCTCGCAAAGGTGTAGAGCTGGTGGCGGATCCTCTCTCCCCTGGGACCAGCTCCGCTGTTTCATCAACGAGTCTTATTTGACCTTTGCTTAGATCCTAACTGAATTCGATTAGATTCTAATTAGCAGATGTCATTTTGCTTTCAATTCTGTTTACCATTCCTTTAGATTGTACGAGGGACCCAGAAAGTCTTAAACCTTAGGCATGTTTATTGTTTGATTGTCTTACTAAAAATAAAAACACTCATTGAAGGCTAACACAGTCAGAGGAGTGAATATCATAAGCAACAGCTCAATGAATGGTACAGGTTGAACATATCCATGTGATCGGGAAGGGCCCCAGCTCCACCCCATCCCAGGGGGTGATGTCGGCCCCTTAGGTTAGTTGTGCTGTTGACATTTACGTGAATGGAATCAGACAGCAAAAAGGCCCCTCCGGGAACGCCTTCCCCCAATAAGGGGGAAAACCAACCAAAAGGAAGGAAGTGCCAGAAAAAAACCCAATTTAAGAAAAAAACAAGAATTAACCAGTCCAATTTTGAAGAAAGGAGGAGTATTCCGCCATGGGGGATTATGAATAACGATGCCATGAACATTCTAGAACATGTCTTCTGGTGAACATATGTATTAATACAAATTGCTACTGGGTAAATACCAGGAAATGAGTATCTTCAGCTTTAGTAGATATTCCCAGAGAGGGGAACTGTTGTCTCAAGTTCTGGAACAGGGATTCTCCGCTTCGGCAAAAGGGACATTCTGGACAGGGTGACTCTTTGTTATTGGAGACCGTC